CCAAAATTATTGCTTTTCCAAAAGCTGGCTTATGACATTTCATGATTACACTTGTCGAGTATTTGACTATGCATTGCTCATTTATTTATTGACTTTCTCAAACTTTTGTTCTACGAAAGTTTCAATTTTAATCTTGTTGATAATCCTCGTAAGAAAAAAGCTTAACACGTGTTAGGAAATACTAAATATTCACCTTATTTTGCATAAGCTTATCTTAGGGAAAGTTAAACTCAATAGATTATTTGATGCTCAAACTTTTCCGTTTAAAAAAAAAAATTGGAATCGATGAAGAAGCTAAAATTAAGAACCATAGTGGCGACCTTATGCTTTCTTGGGTGGACTCTCTCGTCTCTCCACCTTGATTGGTCAGCTTTACTTGCAAATCAGATCTCCATTACTTATTAACTAGTCAATTTATTAATTTAAAGATGTTTACTTTTGTTTGATTAATAAAATAATGGGTCCAACATAGTGTCAAAACCTGTTTAAGTATAATTGTTTGGTCGGTCCAAAGAACACGATTGGCTGATTCGGTAACGCCTCTGTTCGGTTCAATGCCACTTTGAATTGTCTTTTTCTTTTTATAATTAGGTTAATTAAATAATTATCTATACTAGCCAATTAAGTTTCGTCTATTTGGAATTTTGGATGATACCTTGAGTGGTTCTAATTCTGATTGGTAGATTAATTAATTAACCGCTAGGATATTTTGTCTTATGAATTTATTATTTTTGAGTGGTGTGTCATCGTAAATGCTAATGTCACAAATGGTTACAAAACATAAAATTTTTTGGTATATATTTATCTCTAAGCTGATTGATTTTCTTTAATAATGCAGGAGTTTGTCAGACAGACGGTGTAACCGAACGCGAGAAGCCAAACGTGAGACAAACGCTGGTCACGGCTTATGATACATTGCTAGCCCCACAAGTCAAAACTTGTATCGAAGCGTCACATTTTCCTCAAGAGAACGCGCGTTTTGTGAAAACGCGAGTAAGCGGCGGTGTAATAACAACATGTATTACAACATGGTTTAGCCAACTCTGCATTCTCCTCCACAGACTTTTAAAAGAACGGCGTCATGAATCTTTCGACGCACTTCGAGTTTTCCAAGTCATCGCGGCTTCGTTGCTTTCTGGTCTTATGTGGTGGCACTCTGATTATCGAGACGTACATGTAAGTACTATTAAACATTATTCAAACAAAACATTTTCTTGGTTTAGTTTTGCGTTTTTGCTAATAATAATGCTGTCACAGGATCGACTAGGCCTACTCTTCTTCATATCCATCTTTTGGGGAGTACTTCCATCATTTAACGCGGTCTTCACATTCCCGCAAGAACGTGCAATTTTCACTCGAGAGCGTGCGTCCGGTATGTACACACTCTCTTCTTACTTCATGGCCCATGTGCTCGGATCCCTCTCCATGGAGCTCGTTCTTCCGGCAGCATTCTTGACGTTAACTTATTGGATGGTCGATCTACGCCCCGGGCTAGTCCCATTCCTCCTCACCCTCTCCGTGCTCTTACTATACGTTTTAGCGTCACAAGGACTTGGACTTGCCCTTGGTGCAGCGATCATGGACGCTAAAAAAGCGTCTACAATCGTAACCGTGACAATGCTAGCGTTTGTCTTAACCGGTGGTTACTATGTCAACAAAGTGCCATCCGGAATGGTGTGGTTGAAATACGTTTCCACAACATTTTATTGTTACCGTCTTTTAGTGGCGGTCCAATATGGGAGTGGGGAAGAGATATTGCGAATGCTTGGATGTGATTCGAAGGGTAAGCAAGGAGCGGGTGCGGCGACATCGGCTGGATGCCGGTTTGTGGAAGAGGAAGTGATCGGAGATATTGGTCTATGGACGAGCGTTGGTGTTTTGTTTTTGATGTTTGTTGGGTATAGAGTATTGGCATATCTAGCTTTGAGGCGTATTAAACATTAAATAAAATGAGAGAGGGGAGGAATTTAAATAAATAATGAGTGGGTAAAATTTAATTTTTAGGGCTTTAATTCGGAATGTTAAGACGTCGCTAATTGTAATTTTGCGGTTTAGCGACGGGTTTAGGTGTTGAATGGTTCAGTTTTTAACATGTGAAAATGAAAATGACAAGTATTTTTAGTTGAATTATAATAAAATTTATATTCCGCCTAGAATATGCTTTTTTCAATTAGTAAAGACAGACCCATATGACTCTGCAAACTCTGTCATGTTTATGGCCCATGGGCTTGTTAAAGGCATAATGTTTTCGATTTTTATATATATTAGATCATGACCCGCCCGTACGTGTGGGGTTTGATATTTTAAAATTTTTTTAACAAAATTTAATTCAATATAGATTATTTTGTTGTTTTATGATATATATATATTTTAGTGTATTAGATCTGGATCCACGTACGTGTAGAAATATTTTTATAGAAATTGTTATATAGATTTTAAAAATATAAAATATTTTGTTGTATTAGTGTACTTCGTAATAATATAAATATTATAAAGTTAGAATAATGAACAAAAAATTCAGTTGCGTTAATGCATAATTATATTTTAAGATCTGGACTAATTTAGTTGCAAAAGTTAAATGGTGTTACATTTTTATTTTCTTAACTACTCAAAACAGTTCTAACAGTTTGATTACATATGTTAAATAGAATATGAATTCGGTTTTAGTTTGGATTATTTCATTTATATTAGCAAGACGTAACTATTTTGGAACAGGAAACATATCCTGTCCGGTATCTGTCATAAATTCTTTGTCCCATAAACTGTCACGTACACGTAAAATACAAATATTACAGTCCCATATCTGTCATAAATAGAGTATGTGTAACTGAAAACGTACGTACATGGTTATGTGTAAACAAATTTATTTTATATAGTGCTTATAACCCGAACTCATACCAGTTTGGTATTTAGTTTGATTTTTAATATATGTTCCCCTTCCATCTCGTCTCGTAATTTCTATTTCCATTTTATTCCATTAAAATTATACTCCAAATTCTTGTTTGCTTACCTTTAAATATCATACAATATTACAATATATACTGTGAGTTTTGCGGATTAATATGTATGCTCTTAAAATTATAAATATATTTTAACAAATTTATTAATGTTTCTAGCTAAATTTTGCATATTTTTCTTTTCATTGTTTAATCATAATTAATTCGATTTTTTGGACTAAAACTAAATTTGAGATATATCTATAAAAGGGATAAGCTATTGCTGCATAATTTGTTTTGAATGCAAAATATATAATTAGTTCACATTATTTTGAAAACTGTGTGCAATATATTTAGGATTGGTGTAAAGAAGATCCGGTTGAGAAGAAAAAAAGAAAACACAAAATATTTCGAAATTAATATGTACAATCTATTGTTTAGATATTTCCGAAACTTGCTCTAAATGAATGCCCAATATCGTTTTTTTCAGAAATTGTGAAATAAAATTTTGTTTTATATTTCAAAATTTGTGAAAATATTATAACAAAACTGAGTCTTAAATATTTGTATTTAATTTTTTTACAAAATTTCAAATTCAATCTTAAAATTCTCCATTGATAAAATTTTTTAAACTATAGTGTTTTTCATTTTGAATTAAAATGGTATTATTTTTCTTTTTATTTTTGATATAGAATAGTTTATTAGGATTGGTTTAGATAAAATTTTAGTTGAATATCAAATCTTAGTTTTTCAATTTTCATTGGTTAACAACTTTTTAGAAAATTTTTTAAAAATTTTCGTCCATAATTAATAAGAGAGAAAAAGTGAGTTTAATTTTTTGGAAACTAATAATTACTTTTAAAAAAATTTATTATTTATTATTTAAATATATTTTGTGATTACTATAGTATCTTTAATGAATTTATTTAAGAACTTAAACCAATGACATTTTTGTAATACTTTACACTTTATAAGGTTATTTATGTTTGAGTGCTTGCCAATTAATAGTATAGATATGATATGTTATTTTACCAACTACAAAAATAATTCACAGCTTTGTTCAATTAATTAAAACTTCGCTCCCAAAGAAAATTTTAGAGAACAATAAATAATGGAAGTAGAAAATGACCAATTAATCTAGTTATATTTTAAATGTTAATTTTAACTTAATTTTTTTAAATCTAAAAGGGTGAAATTATGTGAATACTTATAGATAGAAAGATAAAATCATTAACTAGAAAAATTTGTTTGACCTCTACTCCCTCTGTTTCAAAATATATGATGTTTTGGCTAAAAGCACATACTTTAAGAAATTAATTTTTTCTTTTAAAAACTATCATTTAATATTTAATTTAATAAAAATTAAACCAATGATATAAAAGACTGCAGAATATAAATAATGATAAAATATCAAATGCATTTATAAGGCATTTAAAAGTTGCATAGAAAATTGTAAATATCCTATATTTTGAAACAAACTAAAAACTCTAAAACATCCTATAAAATGAAACAAAGGGAGTAACATTTTGTATAAAGAAATCTAATTGAAGCTATCAATTAAAAAAGCAATAAATACCTTAATTTTTTTAAATCTAAAAGGGTGAAATTATGTGAATACTTGTAGATAGAAAGATAAAATCATTAACTAGAAAAATCTGTTTGACCTCCAACATTTGTATAAAGAAATCTAATTGAAGCTATCAATTAAAAAAGCAATAAATACCTTAAAATAAAATCTTGAAGTACCATAAACATAACTAATAAAATAAAATTTTCTATAAAATAAAAGCTCAAAAAATTGCTACATATTCATATTTGGGAGAATCAAAGATAAATAGCTAATCAATACTAATAAAACTTTTTTAAAAAAAAATCAGACATAATTGACTGATTCATTTATTTTTTAAAAAAATCTAAAATGCCACTTGGCAGACAAAGGTAAATTTACAAAAATCTTTGGAATTATAGAATTATTATCACATGCCGACACAATTCAACCGTCAGATTATGGATTAATCATTTGAGACCGTCCGTTTTTGAGTCGGTTTAAATTGTGTGACATAAATGGAAAATGTCACCTCTCACGCGTTATTTCACCTTGGATTGAAAAAATTCCCAGATTCTATAAAAAGAGAAATGCAAACATTTGCTCGTGGAACAAGAGTCTACCTGAACCACCACATCATCATCATCATCATCGTCTTCTTCTTATTCTCATCGATCGTCATGGCTGAATCTACCGGAGAAGCAACGGTATCGTCTGAAGCAAAGGTTCACATCATCTACACCGAGAAACCCACCGATGAAGAACCTAAAACCTATCATCTCCGTACCCTTTCCTCTGCTCTCGGCAGGTTTGTTTTCTCAATTTTCGCCGGAAATTAGATGAATTTTGTTTTCGATGAGATGATTTTTGGGTTTGATCGCTTTTGATTTTAGGGTTTTTTTTTTTCTTTTATGAAATGGGTATGATTATGAATTTATGATTGTTTTTCTATGTTTATTGTTTTGATTACTTTAAGATTGACTCTATGTGATTCTAAGAGATGGTGATGGATTTTTGTGGTTGTTCTTCTTATGTTTGATGATTATACAGTGAGGAAGCTGCAAAAGATGCTTTGATTTACAGTTACAAGGAAGCTGCTTCTGGTTTTTCAGCTAAGCTCACACCTGAGCAAGTCACCGAGATATCAAGTACGTCTTAGATTTCTCGTTTGATTCTTCTGCATTTACTTGTAACTTATGGAGCATTTGAACCCTCTCTCTTTGTTTGATTTGAAGTGTGACAATACGATGTTAGTTGGTTTAAGTGCTTATCTGGTTGTGAACTTGTGATTATCTGGTTGTGAACTTGTGATCATCGACACGACTGAAACAATGAAAGATCCGTTTGTGACCAAGGTTGATGTAAAATCCCTTTTGTAGGCTAAGTTCCCAAAATGTTCCATGATTTGTGATGTTTCAATGTTTCTTCCAGGTTAAGATAGGCGCATGAGATTTTAAACCTGTAGAAATAGAATCATATAGTCACGAATGCACGATTTCGAGTATGTAGGCGTAGGAAAAACAGGATAAAGGTCTCCAACTTGATCAATGCTTTTTGTCTTGTTCTGTTGTTCTTATATGCTTTTGGGAATTTGGATGTTGCAGAACAACCAGGTGTGATTCAAGTTGTGCCAAGCCAGACTTATCAGCTGCACAAACCTGGTGGTGGTGGTGGTGGTTTCAAGTTGACCTAACTTGACTTTGTGTATTCTCAACTTCTGAACTAAAACCTGTTGTTTTTACAGAAACTAGTCTGTTGTTGTAATGTTGTGACTTTGAAGTATCTAACTAAAATAATGTCATGAAGTTGCTTTGATTTGAGTTGTTCTGTGTTGTTGAGAAATGTGTTTCTTCAATATGTTTATTCTTAAGATAAATGTTTCTTCTAGTTCCAATTGCAGATTGTTAATTTTGAGAAGAAACAATAATAATAATAATAATCCAGAACCAAAATATTTGATGGTCTCTACTCTCTTGTCTTGTACAAAAAAATGTATTGCTCCTGTAATTTCTCATCAACTTCTTCTACTTCCAAATAGCAAGAAAATACGACCCCCAACTCAAAAAAAAAAACTATCAACGAATTGTCACGACATGTGACAAGTAAACGAATCAGAATTTTGGTTCAGTTGTGTCCTCTAACAAGTTAAGTGTATTCTTGTCCTCTGTATAGCATTGAAGGTTAAGCCTCTGTATTGTAAGATGCTTCTTCTTGGCTATTCGACAATCTTCTTTCTTTTCAGTATCGTTGGAAGAATAGAGATAAACCCGATGAGGAAAAGTACTGACAATGTCTTGAAATCATACAGATCTTTCACCGATTTGAGATCCCCAATAGCAAGGCCAGCCTGCAATCAAAAAGAACGAGAATTTAAGCACTCTTCTTCGCACTTTATGTAGATGGCGAAAAGAGATGAAACACAGGAATGTTGAATGCATATCATAAATGGAAAGATGGTGAAGGAGGCAGGCAAAAGAGCTTACTCTAACGGTTATATAAGCTGCTGGGACGAGACCAATCAATGTCGCCAAAAAGAAGACATGGAAAGGTACATCGACTATAGGAGACGCAAGATTGATAAAAAGATTTGGCAGAGTTGGTGTTATCCTCAAAAACAACATATAGTTCAGAAGCTTATCTCTACGCTTACTGATCTGAAAGTTATAAACCACAACCTAATCAGTACCAAGTAAAGAACTCTCATAAAGATCATTGAAAGAGACTTACCTCTGCTTGAAAGAATCTTAATTTGTCAGGCCATAGCCAAGTAATTAAAGGCCGACCAATCAACTTCGACAAAAAGAAACACGAAGTAGCTCCCGCAGTTGCATTGAAAACAACCAAGACAACACCTTTGAATACTCCAAAGAGAGCTCCAGCTAACAATGACATGAAGATAGTCCCTGGAATCATAAAGGTCTGCATAAAAATGTACGTGGCACAATACCCTAAAACGAACTGCGCCGGATACTCATTCGCATAGTTTGCTAGATTATCTCTGAAACAACAACAACAACAAAGATTACAGATTTATCAATTCCAATTCTGATATCAAAATTTGCATCCAAATCAGTAAATTCTCCTAATTCGCTAAACAAATTGAATCATAGATAAGAGAGAAACTTACTTGAGCAAACGGAGATCAGCGATGCTTCTTGGAAGCTTGAGCTTGCCAAATTCAGCAGCAGGCATGGTCATGTAGATACAACAGAGTCCAGAGGAGAAGACGAGGAAGACACCGAGAGAAACGGCAAGTTCCCACCGGCTAAGAGGGAAGCGATCAAGTTTAGATCTTTTCCCCGATGGAGAATCATCATCGTCAGATATAACACCAAGCTCTTCGTCTCTTGTTAGAATCCGTGTTGGAGCCATCACCAAAAAAATGCAGCAACACAAAAAAGATTTCGAATTGTGGTGAGATCGATCTCAATTCATCTGTTTGGGATTTGGTTACGGAGAAACAACAAAGATCTGGGATTAGATCTGAGAGATTTTGTAGAGATTCAATTGCATTCTGATTTTCCAGTGATGAACCCTAAAAGAAATTGATTCACGTTATTGGTTTCTTCAGATTAAACAAACGTACGAAGAAGAAAAAGAATTGAAATTTATTTTTAACGGAAAACGTGTTGGCCTTATCGGAGAGATTTGACGGTGGCTTTTAAAACCTTCTAAGAGGATCAGAGAGTTTTGACTTAGATTTTACAAGAACGATACCTCTGTATCGTTGAGAGGGTTTCAATTTTATTTTATTTTTATTGTTATATGGCTCTTGGTTGAATAATAGTTTTACTTTTATTAATTCCGTAACACTTTTAGTTCATCTTTTTTTTTGGTTTCATTAATTTTTTCATCACCTTCTTCACATGCCAATAAACATTTTTAGAAGTAATTGACATTATATTTATATACATGGTGTATGATTACCATCCAAATCGTGCATTGTGGTTAGGGTAATTAAGGTTTAGCATGGATTAAGGTTTAGCATGAAATTTAGGAGTCTCCAAAAATATAAGTTCTCTTAACTAATACGCCACCACTGTTCTGAAGTATATATGCAAGTGTATATAATTACTAGCACTCTTAAAAAAAAAATTAATGGGTGTAGAATGGATGAGTTACAAATTAATTCGGACAATTAATGGAGAAAAAATGAATAGAAAAACACAAGGGCGTATTAAAAAAAAAGTCCACCTTTGTGAAATTCAACAACAAATTTCTACGTAATAAACACAAACTTCTTTTACAAATAGACAGTTATAAATGTTATTTTCCAGATGGAACAATTAAATCATAGAATACAAATATAGAAGTGTTTTTTTTCAATTACGAGTCAGGGAAGCATCCAAGAGAATGATGAATATTGGCTTCGACGTCATTATAGTTTTGATGCATGGAAGGGAAGCTCGGCGCCGGATGATACGACTGCGTTTCAAACGAAGTCATAAGAACATTAGGGTTATGTGGATGTGTGACTTGTGTCTCAAGCAAGCTATCTAGTGTTCTCCAATCCACACAGTTAAAGCTCTTCTCTTCTTCTTGCTCGAAACTCTCGTTCTGATCTTTATTTGTCCCTAGACTCGGCGACAAGCTCGGGCTGTCCAGCTGAGGTAGCTCGTTGTTGCCATATTGATGCATCGATGAGGATACATTATTAGGATTGTAGTGGTTATTGCTCATGAGCATTTGATTAAGGTTATGATTCGATGAAGATGCACCGATATGATGACTCGTGTTCATTGTCACTGAAGATGAGTAGTTGTTACTATTTTCAACGTGGTATAGCTGGTTCTGCCATGGCTCGTACCCTAATGGCCTCTGGTTTGGAATTGGCTTCCTGAATGCTCGACACACCACCCACCCTTCCTCCTATAGTTCACAAACATATAAAGTTACTATTTAGATAACCCGTTATTGATTTAGTCCGGTTAGGTTGTTATTTTAACATTATTGGATCCATTGTCAAACATGTAACATTATTGCTTAGGTTTGATACACGGAATAAGTATTGTATTAATGTACTATTGTATTAGTAATTTTTGAATGATTGGTTTGATAGTGAGTCACGTATCTCTTAGATCGCTAAATGTGTACCTGAACTGGGGCAAGCTCGGAGTTTTGGAGGCGGTATTCGTGCATGATCCAATCGGACTTTCTTCCATTAGGAGCTCGACCCTTGTAGTAGACAAGTGTCTTCCGCATTCCGATGACAATGTTCTTTGAAAGTACTGCCTTGTCTCTACCGGTGGCTTTCCAGAACCCTGCCGCGGTGGCTCTGTTGGTCCTAGTCCCGGTCGGGTACTTCCTATCCTTATGACTAAAGAAGTACCACTCATTTTGTTCTTCATACCCTAGTTTACACCTAGCTGCAAATGTAAAACCAAATATTAAAAATATAAAAAAATAAAAAATAAAAAGAGTGAAAACTTATGCTATATATGATATGATTATACTTTCCCATTTTCAATAAATAAATTCAACCGGCTTAATTTCAAAAGAAGTGTGATGATTTATGATTGTACTACATCTCTTAATTTTTCTTTGTAAAATTCGTTTCACACTCCGTTTATAAACCTACAAGTCAAAGAAAGTAGGCTCTCTCAATCACTTCGCATGCCAAATTCAATTAGTTTTCAAAAATCATGTCATAACTGAGACAATTTACTGCCATTCCATGCAAAGGATTAATCAATGATAATCATTATACAAAATCCACGTTGATTACCTTGTATATCCCATGGCTCCATTTTGTAGAGATCAATCTCTACAATAACATCTAAAGCACTCTTCATTGAATTGATCTTTCTCTCTAGGTAATAACCCACAAGCTCTTCCTCTGTCGGATGAAATCGGAATCCCGGTGGCATAGACGATTGCATTATATTATCCATCCACGATGATCCTATAATTAAATGTATTTAATTTGGAAAATTGTTAGAGAAATGAGTAAGAAACGAGATGGAGAGGTGGCAGAGAAGAGAATGATATGAAGGAAAATGAAATGTATATAAACATAAGCGTGTCTTTTTGGAAGCTATTGCGAAAACCTTAGACAAACAAGGAACAACCTTAAAGTTTTGTCTTTGGGACCAAAACCAAAGCCTATTACAAGCTTCGTTATATTTAATTATAAGAAAGGGGTCGAATGGCTCTTGGGTCCAATGAAATTCCAAAAGCTGTATGTTGGGTAATGATAGTGATGTTATATACCTATAAATATACCTATAAATATTTATAGGTATATAACTATACACACGATAAGATATTATATACCTATAAATATACAAACACACAAATATATATGAATTCACATGTAACTAGATATTATATCCAAAAGCTTGGATCTTTAAGCTTAAGGCTATCGCTATTATATGTTGCTGATGATGGTTATGATGTATTTTTATGGGACCACCCAAAAATGGAGGAGCTGTTACTATTTTACAAGAAAAAAATGAATAACAAAAGCTTGATAGAGAAAGTTTTTGGATTTTCTTTATTTTTTTCAGAAAAAAATTAGGTTTAAGGGTTTGTTTCGCCTTCTACATACCGAACGATGCTTATAAAAGAAAATATTTAAACTTTGTTTAACAACATAAGGGTTGTATACATTATAAGACCAAAAATATACAAACAAATACTGTTTATATTTATTACTATATGTAAAATATTTGTATATAAAGGATATATATAGCCGAAAAGCTTGACGGGTGGAAGTCACTGAGGTTGGAGTGTATTACACACTCTTTATCTTGAGTTATATTCCTATACTATCTATATAAATTATAATGGTGCAACAACAATTAATTTCCAAGAAACAATAATATCTTAGAAACACATAGATTCAGAAATCCCCACCATGATTTCAGTTCCCTGGTTTACTCTAATATTTGTGGGTCAACGTCCACAGGACCACTCACACATATGTATACTATTCAAGATATGAAACTTCATACACGATACATCCTACCCATATATGTATGTATATATGAGTGAAATTTTGCAAAACAGAAACGCAGATGCATCATGATCAATTCATCATGGTTCATGCATGTAGTGCGTAAAGGAAAAAAATCTTAAAAGGAACAATGGGGTGAAACTTACGAGCTAATAAAGATTGGACGAAGGGTTTGTCGGAAATAATACGTTATTTGCAAGCAAGCAACGATCTAAAAAAAGAGTAGCAAAGGAAGAAGGAGAGGAAGATTGAAATCTCTGGTGGTATGGATTAAACGATTGTTAATATAGCAAAGACAAGGAGGGTTTGGCTTTGATTAGATCACATGCATATGGACCAGCTAGAAATCTTAGACTGTATATATAGGTTTATCATTTATGTGAGTATGCTTATTTATATATATATATATATATATATATATGGTAAGTGAGTGACATGTGGGTGCAAAATGATGATATAAGAAGGAGGCGAAGAAGAAGAAGGAGATGAAGGCAGGGTTTGATTGCGCGTGGGATAGACATCTACGGTTTGTTTTTGGTCGGCGTCTCTCTCTCTTACCGCAATTTTTTGTTTAAAGTTTTTCCAATATTCTCCACTTTACCGGCAGTTACTGCACAAGCCAAACCTTTTTTTTTTTTTTTTTTGTTAAAAGATATTCAAACCTTTCTTTAATTTGTCTATTGCTCATTAGTTATTACATCACACAAGATAAAATCTTTTATCTATTATTCATAGCTATATATGATTAACGTACGGTTTTTATGTTGCGTAATTAGGTCAAATAGATGTTTTTATCTGCTTTGGTTGAGTGGATGAACTAAAATCTTTGGTTTCTGAAATATGCTCTCATGTTTGTTTTTTTTTGGCATGAGATCGTTTGTTATAGATTTATTATCATTGATTGTATACTAAACTATTTTCATTTTGATAAAATATTTACATTCTTAATAAAAATAAATTAAGCCAACTGGTAAAATGTTCCGAATATTTACAAAAACTTCAGTTTGATTGGATAATATTTCGCAAAACGATGTCATGATATTATCAATTAAATTAGATGGCAAAAAAAAATTACGTTTTGAATTTAATTAATCTATTTTCTTAAATCACTATGTTCAGCTACTCACCATAATTTTCTTATACTATGTAACTTTAAAATATTTTCAGTAATAAAAACCTAGTTATTAATTGTGAGGGTGGCTTGTTGGAAATTCACAATTAAAGAATTACAAGGACTGGATTTGTAAACCCGAAATGATGAACTATAGAAATATATTCCTTTTTTTGTTTTCTGTTTTTTTGCTTCTTGTTGTTAGAAACTTAGAAGATATATGTTTGCTACTGAAATGTGTCTTAGTTTTAGTATGTCTCATTAACCCATAAAATAAGACACGTAATATCTCAAAGTTGTTGAGATATTACTATTAACTTTTTTTTGTCATAGAGATATTACTATTAACTTATTAAGTATATATAACATCGTCTCAACGTCGAAAGGATTTACACGCATGTACATTTATGGATTACTACGTAAATCTCACTCAATATACCACCGCATCTAATTTTATAATGTGAGTCTAGCTAGATCCACTCGAAACCACAATCATAACTTTTTCTTAAATGATTAAAATGAACTTTCAGATTTATAG